CTTGAGATTGCTGTGATGAAGAGGGACTCCGGGGACTAGTTCTGGGCCAGACAACCGCACAGCCTTTCATCCTCAGATGGTTTGAATGAGGGAGACTAAGGAATGACTTTGCAAGAGCTGGAGGTAAGGCCTGTAAGATGGTTGCTTTGGGAAGGGTAAGCGGAGCATCCAGTACAAGCTTCTCTGATGCCAAGCTAATGCTGGCTTTGCTTATGAGTTGGCCCTTGGGTAGTTTCCAGAAGTGGAAGGGAAGATGGGGTGTGTGGAAGGGGTCAAAGTCCTGAGCTAGTGGTAGTGGGGATGGCGGAGAGTGGCAAGAAGAGCTAAGAAGCATTTGGTCTCCTGATTTTTTTCACACCACCCTTCTCCACACAGGCAGCCGAGAGCTGAAATCTCTGGTTTCATTTGTTCTTCACCTACCCCAAGGGATTTATGGGGTTATAATGCATTACTTTAAATGCTTCAAAAACGCTAATGGAAATCCTAATACATCTGTTTTTTTGCTTTTTGCATACCCGGTTATGGATGGACTTGATTAATAAATCATGGGGCAATGAATTAATTATTCCATAATGATTACAGTCTCTTTGGCAGACAACATATTTCAATACAAGAAAGATGGGGATGGGGAAAGAATAAAGGAGGATTTTGATGCGATAATCACTAACTAGGTTGGAAACCGACACAGAACCTGAAGGATGCTTTCCATCCTGGAACATCTTCCAGAAGGGAGGACCACGGAGTATTGAGCTGCCTGGCATTGTGGGTGTAGTGGGATAGGAGTGACAGGGGGCAGAGGAGGTGCTATATCTTTTTGTCCCCATCTCTACAAACTCAGGGAGTAAGAGATAGCTCACCTTCTCCTGCACAGAGGAAACCATACTTTAACAGTCCCTCTTTTTCTTCACCCCCATTCACTTCCATCTCAGTTTCTCTCTTCCATGATTTTCTTGTCTCTATCCCCCACCCATCCCCCACCCATCCTTCTTGGCACCTTCCCCTGAAGCATCTCACCCCTCGATGGCTCTCTCCTTTTCTCTGCCTCTTCCCTTCTTTTTCCGACCAAAGGCCCAGGCATCTCTCCCACCCCACCTAGCTTTCTTCCCCAGTGAGGGAGAATATTTGTTTTTCTTGAACATTGAGATCCCCCCCCTCCAAGGAGACAGTAGGAAGCACTCATCCATTCCTCCTGCTTTCTGGCTGAGAAATCAGTTGTGAGTGATGTGGGGCACTGTGGGATAGCCAGGACATGAGGTTCCCCCTGGCTGAAAGAACTGCCAGGGGCTAGTTCAGCCTGGTTTGGACTCCATGGGATAGAAAACAGGACAAAGTTTATGCTCCTGTGCCCAGGGGAGTGTAGAGGACATGCAGTCATGCACAGGACAGCTCTTGGGCAAATGTTAAATTCCACATCCCAAACCAATCAGGATAGACGTTCTCATTTCCAGGGCCTGGACTCTGGCAGCCCTAAACAAGCCATGTTCACCCGCCTGTACTCAGTGGTCCAAATGAAGACACGTAATAGTGAAAAGCACAAAAGGAGGTATATTCAATGTGTCTTCATAGGGAAGATGAACAAAGAGCTCTAGTAACTCCATCCATCGCTCACCAAGTTTGTTTTTTTCAGGTCATAACATGAGTTTTGGGTTTAAATAGAAGACCAGAGGTGTGTATAACTAACCAATCTCCATTAAGGCATAGTCCCAGCCATTACCATCATATCGGCTCCAGTCTCTTCTGCCAAAAGTCTGTCAAACTATAAATCTCTCTCTAGGAGATGTTTCCCTTTTGGCTCAACCAAGCTTCAGTCCTTTCCTTCTCCCAGCATGAGGTTCCCAGGAAATTCTACTTCCTTGGGGGCCATTGTCTCAATAGTCTGACAGCCAAAGAGAGGGGCCCAAGTGTCTGTAGAATATTGTCACTCCTGCCTGTGCCTTTCTATTCTAGGACTTGAATCAGCCTGACCTGAGTCCACCGGAGGATGTATTAACCACCTATCACTGAACCCTACTTCCAGAGCAGGTCATTCAGCAGGTGTGGGAGAGGAGGAGGTGACCAACCACACTGATTTTTCTAGGACCAAGGGTTCCCAGGACACACAACCTTCAATACAGGAGCCAGGAAAGTTCCTAGGGGGAGAAGGAGGTAGGCACTCAGTGGGATTGGAAACTGCATTTCTAGTAAGACCCCAGGTGAGGCAGCTGCTGCTGGTCCTTGGACTGTACTTTGAGAGGGACCGCTTAAGTGTTCTTAGGTAGCTTCAGAGGCCAAGAGCTGAGGATTGTGGTCCTGGAGCCTTCTTCAGGTGACAGACTCTGGGCAGGGCAAGAGCCGAGCCTCCAGGTACCTACAGCCAGGAAGGTAGGTGTGTCCTCAGGGAAAGACAGCCATCGTGTTGGAGGCTGTCTTTGGAGGCAGGTGGAAGAAGAGAATTGGTGAGAAATATGGGGTCAGGAGTGAGAGGACACCAGAGCCAATGCTGTATGTGGGGGTATGCCCTAGTGGATATAGTCTGGGGCTCCTCACAGTGGAATAGGCCGGTGTCTTGGGAACAAGTAAAGCTGAGTAAAGAAGAAAAATATTTCCTAGGACTGGGCTAGTACTTGTTTGGGAAACAACTAGAAAAGAAAGCGGTAATAATTGGGGTCAGATCAAATGCAGTGCTTAAGCTGTGAACGTGTGAACAGTGCCTTGGCTACATCTACTTATTTCTCTGTTTGCTGACTTAGAGAGTTTGGGGGCAGGTTGGTGTGGGCCACAGTGGACAGCAGGAGTAGGGGCACAGTGGATCCTCTTTATGCCTCCAAGTTACCAACTTCAAATGCTGAAGAAACTTCCAGAGCCTGGGTGCGATGTGACCAGCCCAGCCATTACTACTGGTTGCATAAAAGTGAATATAAATACAAGAGTATAAGGCTGTAAAACCAGAGACAGGTGATGTTTTTCTGTAGGCTTAGCAGCTGCACATGAATATATTGATATTTTAATCATTGTCTGTGGCTCCATGTAATGAAAGTGCCTGCCCTAAAGAACTTTCTCCCAGAGTCTAGGGAAGGCAGTACAACTGGCCGGGGAAACTACTTATCTATGAATAAATCTATGCATACTGTGCTTTTTCAGTCCATCCACTTTATTGTTCTAAGTAAGCTCTCCTGAGCTCTCTGCTCTTCTTTTTGTTCTCCTGCTTCTCTAAGTCTACAGCTTCTTTTCAGTTCTCGTTCTTAGCTCCTCTCTTGCCTGACTATCCTTACATTTCTAACAGGAGACTCCTTGCAATCCTGAGAAAAGTTTCAAAACCCTCAAGGTCATAGTACATTCCTAGAATAGATGATAAGGAGCAGAGTCATTACCATGGTAATGCAAGGTCCCAAGGTCTCAGGAACCAGAGGGAGGGGATGCAGTGCCCAGTGCGACAATCTCTGAGACATAGCTCTTTATCAGCAGACTTGGCAAGCGAGGAATTGGCAGGCTTTTCTTAGGGTGTTTTGTGTTAGTAACCTTGGTAGACACCTGCAACTCTGACCTTGTGCATAACTGTACAGTTTTTAAACTTATGATCTATTTACAAAGGCCTTTAGTCTAGTTCAAACTTGCTCTGAGGTAAAAATGAGCTAAATCTGTGCAGTTTGTAGTAGACTGAGGAGAGATTATTATTTCCTGTGTTTGTCTGAGCAAAAGGAACAAAGCAGGCTTGAAGTGTCTTCAGTCTCCTGGGACAACGGATCTGGCTATGAAGCATATCCTAGTGTATTTCTATATGTCAAAATTATACAGCTAAATGAAAAGCCATCTTTCTGACCACCCACAGATACATGTGCTCATAAGAATGAGATGTAGCCATAAGATTACATTTACATATTACATGAAGATACATGGTAATAGAGAGATATCATAGTGTAATTGCATAAGAAGTTTACAGTAAGAAACAGTCAATTTATTCAAAGGGCAATAACTTCAACACACCTTGTGTGATGGCTTAATCACACCCTTGGTTCTGATAAGTTGACCTTTTGAATACTAGTTGTCTCCTGATGTATACTTCCATGGCCTTTTGTGAACAGCAGCTCTCAATACCCATGGTCCCTCAATCAGCACTTGCCAGCCACTCAGGTCCAGGCCATGGCCTGATGGACTTTAGGTTCTGTGACCCCAGCACTGCCATAGCCACAATATGTAGGTTTAAATTAAGTCTCTATTGTTCTATTTATCAATAAGACTCAGGAGTCAAAGGCTGGGGTAAAAGCCTGCTAGCTCAGAGAGGCAGAGTAGCAATCAGCTGACCTTGCTTTTTGGCCGTAGACACCAACACACTTGAGACAGAGTTCTTCCCTCATTCCAGAACCAAGAGGAAACTCAAACTCTGGTCCCCACCCTTTCCTTCCTGTACATCTTCTCTATCCAAATTGCTGGCTTCTCTATGGCAAATTCTGGACAGCCAGTTGCTGGCTCTGCCCCCTGATTCAAGGTATAACTTTATTGGGCAGTCTCAGGAGTGTCAGAGTGTTATCAAAATATCCCACAACAGACAGGCACCATTTATTCAGTGCTTGTACATTCCCAGGGGGCTTTCTCACAGAGCAAACTTGGGCATCTTAGACCCATAGTCCTATTCTGGCATTCTGGGCTTCTCATCCCAGTGTCTCTGACAGGGGGAGTTTGTCTCTTCCCCTTGTTTTCCTGGCTGGCCTCCATCCTTGCATCCCTACTCTGCCAGGAAAGTTGTGGGAGCCTTGGAACAGACTATCCAACTCATAAACAGATTCAGTTATCTTCTAGTTGGCACTTACCGCTTCCTTTTTTTGCCAGATGTTTACCATGTCTTCTGAACTGATACAACCCAAGTGTACGCTGGATACATACTAGCAGTGTCCTTCTCAGAGAAGAAACATGGATCTTTGATGAGGGAAGAAGCAGGGCAAACTCATAAAACATCTCTTCCCCTAAAGGGTCGTGCTTGTCTTTCTAACTCCATTACCCTCAGGACTGGTCTCTATTTAGGCTCTTTGGCCCTTCATGCAAATAACATTTCTGAACCTGCCTCAGCCGTAATAGAGTCAACGTGCACTCCAGCCATGATAAGCTTCCCGATTCCCACCTACTTAATTTCACTGAGAAGTGAGTTGAACCTCGGGTGCTTTGAGGCAACTGGTTGGGAGTGAACCATCTTTCCCTCTAGTATGTCCGTCTCCCCCAGGCTGTGTGGGTCCTGTCTCTGATAAGCCACAGGCATGTGTTTATGTGAAGACTTGATGATTAGCAGCAGACTTCTTTAAATAGCTTTTTAAATGACGTCTCACAGTCCTAGAATCATCACGAACTTGATGAGACGACCCAAGGTTTTACTTCTCTATACTTTGACAAAGGGAAAGGTTACCGCCTCATGTATCTGCCCACTTAGGGGATCACGAAAGTCTCCAAAGGCCAGTGCCACACCACTTTGGATTCTTGTGATTATGATGTCATTGCCATGATCTTCTGACTGGTGAAGACTACCTGCCACGTCTGTAAGAGGCAGGAGCTACTGAATTCATGGGCATGAAAAAACCCAGCTGCCCTCCCTAGGGATCCTGTAGTGTGAGCAGTGATGAGATGAGCCAAGATGGAGGCCGATGTCAGATCTAACTTGGCTTAACCCCTGGCCCACCCCATCCCACCCTTGTTTCCTCCCCTCTCTTCAAGCCCTGCCCACATGGCGAGCGCCTGTGCATTCGGCATTCTGTCGTCTGTGGTGACACAGAACAGTGTGGAGTCCCACTCATTCTTTGGAACAAAGCACAGCCAGCTTGGTGCCAGAGGTGTGAAGGTGTGTGACTCACTTATAGCATGAGTCTGCCTCACTTCCCCTGGCCTGTGCTGCTTGCTTGCTTGCTTGTTTCTGCCCGAGGCTCTGTATGACTGGGGAGAAGCCAATCAACCATACCTGGAGGGAAGAGAGTACTCACTTGACAGTGTGGAGACCTGGCCTGCAAACCTGGATCTGCCACTTTCAACTGTCTGAGCTTGGGAGAACTGCCTCTCATGTGGGTTTCCCTCTCTCTAAGATGTCTAGGTCCTTGGGGATCTTTGCTCCTTAGTGTGTCACAGGCATGAGCAGCAATGGGAAGCCTCTGAAATCTTATTAGGAAGGCAGAGTCTTAGACCTTCTCTAGACTCACTGAACTTGAAGTTGCATTCAAGAAGATCCCCAAATAGTTAAGGGAGTGTGGCCCCACAGTCCCCATTAGCCTTTGGCCCTGGGACCTAAGGAGTCTCCAAGCTTTCTCCCTGTAGGAGTGCAGCTGTGGACTGAGCTTTGCTCCAGAGGAATTTCCCCCAGTTTCCACATGCCCTGTGTGTGCGTGTTCCTTCTCTGCTGTAGCTCTCAAAGGTAGCAACAAGATACTTGATAAATTCCAGGAGCTCATTCTCTATGAGCCAACATTGCCTTCTATGGTGTTCATCTCAGGGCTAGGGGATGACCCGCTGGAATCTGTTATCACAGATCATTGGACTCTTGCTCTCCAAGGCCATGGTCAGAGGCTCCATCCTGTAAGAGCATGTCTGCTAACTGGGGAGATGATTCAGGAGTCAAGCTAATGCCTTCTCAGCAGATGCAGTGTGAATGCGCCCAACTGTCTTCATCTTGCCATTATCACACTAAGAGCAAGAAGAAGAAGAAGAGTGCAAACGGCCTCCGGGATTCCCTGCAGCGAGGGCTCTGTGTGAGGTGGGAACCTCAGCTCTTTCTGTCTTTCTTTGGTGTGAACATATGCTCCGGGCTGGGTGTGAGCCCAGTTTTTCCCTGTGAGTGCAGATGAGGCTGTTGCTTAATGAGAGCCAGAGATTGTATTTGGTATCAAAGACACAGAGACTGGTCCCATTTCTGGAATTAAATAACAACAGCAGCAGCAGTAACAACAACAACAACAACAACAACCAAACAAAATACCCAGCTGTCCTGGCCTCAGAAGACAAGTTACTAGGACTCCAGCACAGTGACTTCCTACGGACTTTGATTACTTGCCACATTCTTTACTGTGATAATGGCAGGACCTTACAGAAGAAAGAAGAGGTGGTCCTTCCTGGGTGTGAAGTCAACTCCCCCCCACACAAATTTCCAACTGGGATGATTGATAAGGCTAGGGATGAAAGAGGTCAAGGAAGGTTCTGGATAGGAGGACAATCTTTCTTTGAACTGGGATGTTCTTTCATCATGTCTTTTCAGGTTTCTGAGTCCAGACTTACACTGAGAAGCCAAGCTGCTAGTTGAGCCCAGTGATGCCAGAAGAGTCCCTGGGGCGGGGCTAAGCCCTGTGCTCTGTGTGTTCCCTTCAGTGGGCATTGGACTCACAGTAAACTCCTGGGGTAAATAAACGAGAAGACAGTGCTCTGAAGCCAAGGGTACGAGAATGATCTGTCATCATGCGGACTCAGAATCACATCATGTCACATAACAACATAGCCATTTCTTTATTTAGGCAACTGCCCTATACCATAAAAGCTATGAGACAGCTTAAAGGAAACATGTACATTTAGGGCATGATATAAATACAAAGTGCAAAATCAGACCATGGGAAATATAAATTAGTGGAGCAGGTCAGCCTGGGTTACCAAACAGAGCACACCTCTCCTATCAGCCCAGGAATGGTGGTCTCCAGTAGATACTGGAGTCAGGCTGTATTGGACGACATGTAATTTAGGCTAGAAATGCAGTCTTCTCCTTGAAGTCACAAACAACACACAGACAGCAGAGGCCTAGAGTGCTTGTCAAAATAAAAAAAAATGCCTGAAGGTTTCGGTCTACCTGAAGCTCAGTGTGAGCAGCCCCGTGGCCTGGCTCTGTACCTAGGCCTGTGTGAAGAGTGCCAGCATGTTCGTCTGTGAGGGGAGTCCCCTTGCGTGCACTTTAGCTGTGCATTTCCATCTCCATGTTGGAATCTGCTTGTGTGTCCCCTGAGTGACAGGATGAAGAGGAGCCAGAGGCTCAGAGTCTAGTGAACGTCAGAGGGACATGGCAGCAGCACTTCATAATGCATGTTCATGAGAGACCCCTGTTGGGTGTCTGTGCTTGATTCCAATGGGCAGTTCTTTGGAAGAACTTTGGCCAGAGGCTTCCTTGGTATCGAAGCCTGTAGTAGAGTGGTCCCTTTAAAAGCCTCGCTGGTGGAACTTCCTGACTTCTCGGTCCCTCACAAACTTCCGGAATGGTGGCAGCTGTCTCAGCGGTTTGGTGCAGGGTGCTTGGGCTCCCGATAGAGCCCTGGTAGTGGTCACAGTCGTTTGTGGCTGTCCCTGTGGGTGATGTGAAAGCTTCATCATTGCAGCGTCTGGGTCCCTCCCGGATGCACTCAGGGATGTGCTGCAGAGAGAGCCCGTCTTGATTTGGTTCTTCTGCGTTAGACAGACCTGGGCTGAACAAAAGTAGACAAACATGGGTCAGACAAGACTCCATGGCCAGACTTGGGTCTGAGTCCCAGGACCTGAGTTCCTTAACACTCACTATTTTTTCTTGAACTACTTGAAATAAATCTGAGACTCGGATTTCTTCCACCTATCAAATGGAGATTTGAGTCCTTTGTTCTGCCTTGGAAGCAATGAAAATAATTGATTCAGCTGCTTCCACACAAGGTGCTTGTCAAATATTAACTCCTTCAAGGCAAGACTAATGCCTTGTCCTGGGGGTTTGGTCTACTCCCTCCTCCATTCCCAGGTGTCCATCTTTGTTTAACACTCTCAAACCCCTTTCCTGGCCTCCCTTCACCATCTCATTCAGTTTCCTGTTTCACCCCCACCCCCCGCCCCCATAAAGGAATCCTATGCCATCAGGCCATTGTCCTGCTTCCTTAATTCCATCACCAAACACCTTGAAGAACACTCTGCACCCAGGCCTTGTGCATCTCAACAGCCACTCCACAAGCTGCACTCATCTGATCTTTCCCAGCTGTTTACAGATAAAGGCTCATTGCTGAGACTCATCACCTTTCTTGAGGCTTCAACATTCTCAATGGCTCTGAAACATACCATGGCCAGCACCTCATGCTGGCTGTCATGCATTCTTTTGTCCTCTTTGTCACCTTCGTCATGATGCTCCCTTATTATTGCTGGGAACTTCCACTGGGGTCCCCCCAACTGTATCCCTCATCCCATCCTCTAAGTGCAAGCATGGCCCACAGCTCTGACCTTGCCTCCCATGGGAAGCATCGGTGGCTTAGCCAGAGGCTTTGGCATTTGGCTTTGCATAAAGGTCCAGGTAGTCAATAGTTCGAACTTTTTAGTCTTTCTGGTCTCTGTTTGAACTATTCAGACCTTCTGCTACTCCCTAAAGCAGCCAGGGGTAATAACAGAAGTCAGAAGAACTAGGTGAGAGCCAATAAGAGGCAGGCCAGATTTGGCCAGAGGCCGAATTTGCCAATGCTCAGTCATGTAGAAAGAAGATGAACTAATGCAGATGCACAGGGTTTCATAGTTCAGCTCCATCACTTACTGGCTCTATCGCATCGCTCAAGTGGGTCAATCACTATGTTCTCTGTGATCTTTATCAGTGAAAGGGGACCAGTGATGACAATGAGGAGGAAGAGGAGTCGTCCCATGATACTTTTCTCAAAGCATGGTAAAATGAAATAACTGCAGCACCTTGGGGCCTGGCCTGGAGTCTTAGTGTCCCTCTCCATGCCTCCTTTCTCCCCCAGTCTCTGTAGTCTCCCCCTTGTCCTCCCCCCAGCCCCTTCTCCCTCTACAATCTCATCAACAGTCATATCTTCAACTCTGCCCTCAGCTCCATGTCTGATCTCTTTTCTGAGTTAAGTGATATGAACTCTCAACCCCAGCTGGGTAGTTTTGCTCATACACCCCATTTGCATTTCAAATTCTCCATGCTTGAGAGGAAAAAAAGCATCATTTTAATCAAATATGGCTTCCCCTGACCTCTCTTGTTCTAGGAATGGTGATTCTTTCTGAGCCTTTGCCATAGCCTCCCCCCACAGGAGAGCAGGGCAGGCCCCTTCTGTTAGGATGTCTCCATGCTCCCCCAACTCCCATCTTCTAGCCATCATTTCCCTCCAAATTTTTCTTCCTTAGCACTTGCACTTTCTGAGTATTCTCCCCATCTCAGAGCTTGTACCTTCCAACTCAGTTCATCCACGCTGCTAAGCTGCTCTTACCGAAGAATCGTGGGATACAGCCATTCTCCAGTCTGTAATGTCCACATCCCCATCCACATCTAGTACCAAAAGCCTCACTAAGTGTTAAGAGTCCCAGATGGACTGCATGGAAGACTCCTAAGTCCAATACATCTATTTAACTTACCCCGAGCTCTCTAAATTCTTTAGTCTCTGGGCTAACCTTGCCTATGCCATCTCTAGATGCAAGTTCTTTTCTGTTTCTCAGATCCAGGCCAGACATCTGAATCCCCCTGTAGCCAAATACAATGACCCTTGCTTCCAGCCAGAGGCTCTGCATTCACTCCAGCTTTCAGAGCCTATGCAAGACTGGGCTTATCTCCTGGACTGCACTTTCCTGTGTACTTCCTCAAAGCCGTGGGCACTTGCAATATCTGTCTCCTCAGATTAGAAATCCATGGGGAGACTTGAGAGATGCTTGGCTGTTCACAAAGCCCCAGTACCATATCTGTTCCGGGCATGGGCTTGCTGAACAATTGTGGGTGCCCTTTTACCCAGCTAACCTTTGAGCAGGCACAGAAGTAGCGTGGGCAGAGGAGAGAGGCTACCTGTTCGAAAAAGTAAATGCAGAGGAACAAGTTTCACTTTCCAGGGCTCGGGGCCATGAGCTTTGTATACATTTGGCCTTGATAGCAGAGTAGTGCGTGTGCTTAATTCTGTGGGTGATAGTTTCGTGGTGGGTGTGTGCAAGTGTGAGAGAAGCCATGGGATGGCGTGTGATTAGGTTGAGGTGTCTATGAGGGAGTTATACTAGTATGCACACTGAACATCTGTGTACAATGAGGAAGGGGTGTACCTCCGTGTGTGTAGTATACATGTGTCAATATGGTGAAGGAGGCAATCTGTGGGCATGTATGTTTGATGCATTGTTAAATTGTAGGATATGTGTTGGAAGACAATATAGAGGCCAGGGAGTGTGTGTGTGTGTGTGTGTGTGTGTGTGTGTGTGTGTGTGT